ACAGACCAAAACATTTCTGTTTTGTGTATTAATATTTTTTGTGATTTGAAAACATGTATAATTGTGATGCACAATAAACAATCTGACTACTTTCTAAATATCTTTTTGCTTTTGTTAAAAGGATTCTGCACTGGTGAAAATGAATGTATGCAAAACAAAGTATTATGATTATAATATACCCACCTAAGCTCATGATGTTAAAAGTTGAAGTTAAAAGTCTCTGTATAACTTTATAGGTTACTACCACTATATGTGGGTTTAGAAACCCACCTCTTGCCAAAGTGGGATCCAGTGTACAACCCAAAAAGGGTTGTTCAACATATTGTAGGATGACAGCAGTTTATCCAGTTTTGTATCTGTTTACTTTTTACATACTAATTATTGCAAACAGAATCAGAAAACGTAACTTTTCATCAAGTTAAACGACAAAACAGTGTCTCATACACAGTTGGTTTGATCTCATGCGTGTATGTATTTTATAAAGGCCAGGGATGGTCGAGTAGCGCTACTTTTTGTAGCTAACTACAGATTTTTGTAGCTAATAGCTGTAGCTGCTACAGTTTTCTGAAATGTAGCTCCAAATTTTTGGGTAGCTATAGCAAAAATTTGTGCTACAATTTCGCTACGGGCTTCAGACAATCCGTGCAAAATGTGAGCCATAGAACGCGGTCATTAACTGGGGTGGTGTTAACGACCGCGTTCTATAGTAAGTATGATAAGTTTCACAATTTTTTCACTGTTCTAACTATGGTGATGTTTGAGTTCAGAATACTACCACTATTTAAGGTGGAGCGGGAAAATTTGAACAAGAAGCTGGTGAATAGAAAGTCAACGTCAGCCTCGTCCTTTTGTGAACCTAAATATAAGATAACCTGTATGTTTTGGTGCTGCCTGTTTTACAGTGAAATATTAGTGTGTCTGCCAAAGTTGAAGCTCCTCAAAGTTGTCCATCTTTGTTTCATGGCACGCCACTTTTTTACTGACCAATGAGAGGCTTTGCAGCATAGTGTCTTCGTCCACGGAGTTAGCTCAGCTGCCATGTGCGTGACAGGGCAAACGAAGCCCCCGTGCGACGTCTGCGGTTGTTTGTTTTCTCCGCAATTACATCATATTGTTTGCTGAAGCCAGGCAAACGTTGTCTCCGCAAGAAGTCTGATGAGGCCTTGAGCCGTGGACAGTCAGAGCAAATGGTCATGCGCAAATCACCCCTTGCTAGTTGGCTTAGCTCAGCGGTCGGCAACGCAAATGTTAAGAAGAGCCGTTTTGTCCTTTCAATGAAAACACCTTGGGAGCAACAACATTTAAGGTCTGTTTTACCATCTTGGCTGTAAATATGTCTCAGTATGTGCTAATATACTAGTATATAATAACTAGTAGATAAAAAATATACATGAAAACTCAGACTTACTCTACTCTGCTTTAAGCTTTAGGTCAGCTGTAGCTGCTTGTCTCACACCTCAGTTAGGAAACGTTTCCGCGAGTTTCTTGTATAATGACTCTCAATGTTCGACTTTTGAGGCTGAAGTCGCTTCTCATTCACCAGCTTCTTGTTAAAATTGTCCCGTTCCACCTTAAATGGTGCCTGAGGTGCCAGATTGTACTGCTGCGCCATGTTTCTTTCTGGCACATGATTAAATGCAGTGTCTTGTTCACACTATCAGTTGGGCTTGTTTGGTGTGTAAGGTGGAGATTCACAAACACTCTGAGAATCGTGCTCTAAAAGAAGCTAAAAAGTAGTGCACTACTTTGCAAAAAGTAGCTAAAAAGTAGCCACTACTTTTTCTGGAAAAGTAGCTAAATTGTAGCTAGCTACACATTTTGGGAAAGTAGCTACAAAGTAGCTAACTACTAATTTTTCAGTAGCTATCCCAACTCTGATAAAGGCGCACCGAATGGGTTGACACCTATCAGGGACATACACAACTGTTTTCATTCCACAGACCGCTTAAGTATAATTTTTCAGACATTTTTGTCTTCTCTGATGTAAAACGAAATGTCTGAAAAAGTGTATTCTAAACCTACTTAAACAGTGCTTGATGGAAGATGTCATATTTAGCATGTATTTCAGTGGCCTCTCCTATTCACTCAAGAATTTTTCACCCACTATGGTTTAAAACTCAAGTGCAAACATGTAAAAATGTATTTTTAAAATGTATTTATGAACTTTGACTCAAGACAGATATATAACAAAGATTTTTTATTTATTTATTTACTGTTTTTTTTATTTATTTAACCAAAATTCACATGGAGTTTTCATTCTGAAATGGCTTTTGACGTGTTGATTATAAAGAGGAAAGATTACTAATATTTTGCAAGCTCTGCAGTAAATGAGTGTTGCATCCTCAGGGCCTCATCTGGGCCAGGAACCAAAGTGGGCACTCAGCCATAACTGTGTGCCAAAAATGGGCCACAGCCGTTAACATTACACACCTTATACCCCAGATAGAAAAAGGATAGTAGGCCACTGTTGGCCTGGTGACAGCAAAGCTGGCAGCACACTGGCTTTGTACTCAATGGTAAAATGTGCATTTAAAATTTGTTTGAGGAGATTAAAAACTTATTAGACTTTGTAGGCAGGACACTAATCTGAATAGTCTGAAGGTGGACCAGTAGTGGCAAACAATCAATAGTTTGCTGACCATCAAGCCAGCAGACTGATTTATGTGTAGTGCCCCCACCAGGTACTTAACTGAACAACAAGGGCCTAAAGGTGTTTAACATTTAACCCTGAACTAGTAGCATGGGAGGTACAGGGTGGGTCCTACAAATATAGAAATCCAACTGGCTTATTTGCTAGGGTGATATCTCCCTGGAGGTTCAGAAATGTAGCTAGTCACTTAAAGCTACTCAAATCTCCCATGCACAGATACTTTACTTTTATTCTACTTCCTCTCATAGCATCCAATCACACTCCAACTTTCCAAAATGGGATACGAGAATACACTGCATGCTGCGAAACTGCTTATAGTGATTAGGGCAATTCTGTTTAACACCTGCACCCTACACGAGCATTACCTCCTAATACAGGTGTTGGATATGCACTTATAACCTTCCATGAACTGCATAAATACATGAAAATTTGCTGGGACAATAAAACCACAATTTATATATGTGTGAAACACAATTTTCATTTCCTTTTGATCTGGTATTTGAATTATTAGTTAGTCTTTCACTTAAACTAGAAATCATTTTTTGTAGTTAGGGGACTTTGACTTAAATTTAACCAACAGCCTTCCCCACAGGTTTAAACAATGGTTTAACAGGGCACTTAGTTTGTTTCAGAAAGAAAAAAAAGACATTATAAAACCCAAGTCTGAAAGTTTAGGGAGCTGCCCTCTGTTGGCGCGCGTTGGAGCTCAGAGAGAAAAACACACTCGGTCCGAGGTTACATACAGGTCAGCCGGCAGAATGAGCATCAAAATGGCGCTTTCTAATGGGAGACAAACCAAAGAAAAAGGCACAAAAGCACTTAGTTCCGACCAGGATGGTATCAGCATGTCCACTTTAACAGCACTGGTCCAGCGTCCGTCAGTCCCAGTAGTCTCTCCGTCCTCCGGCCGAGTTGCTATGGCTACTGGTTAGCAGAGAGCACGATTCAGTTCAGATCCAGCCATCACAGACATACACGGCATCAGCCCTTCTCTTCTCTTCTGGTTCAAAATTATCGCACAAAGGCTCTTTTTCACAGGCTTTTCATCTCCCAAGTTTAGTTCTCCCCTCTGCCCACCTTCTCTCTTCTCCTCCCCAAAAAAGCAGTCTCTCTCCTGCAAACTTTTTAGCCCCCCGCCCCCTTTCACCGGAAACACCAGAACTGAAAAACTCCCATTTAAGCAAAAACTTGTATTAGGCTCAATATCTTTTCAAAAAATACCATCAAATAAATGTTCAAATACAACTGTACATAATGCAAAATTACAAACATTTTATCACCCCCTGTTTATTTATTCATTTTACTCATGATAGAACGTGAACTTAATACTGCATTTTTCTCATTTATATGACAAGAACACAATTTTAACACAAAGCTCTGTTTTTTTTTTACTCCTATCTGTCCTTCCACCTAGAGTTATAAATGTTAAAGGGCTACACATGCATGCTATCTGGGTGTAGTCAAATGGTTCTTAAGGCTGGTTGACCAGCATATGGATTTTTCTTTGACTTACTAACATTAGCTAGACTAGGTAGCATGCTAGGTAGGTTAACTTGATAAGCATCAGTTTCGGGTTGATCCTGGAAATATTTGTTATAATTATTACTTGCACTTACAATTAACATGGCAGTGATGGTCCTGAAGCAGCATATACAGAGTTGGTATGGTGATGATGGTCCTGGGTCAGCTAACTCACTGGCATAACTAACATTCTCCCTAGCCAGCTATATAATGTTAGCTGAAACTACCAAGAGTCTTTATTTAAATGAATGATTAAAGACATGCGGCTTCAATATTTTCAATGAATCAGGGATAATTTCTATCATTTCTAGGAACTGCAGTGAGCTTTAGAGCACTCTCTTTCTGCAAAATGACATTTTTTTTTCATAAATACTAAGCTCACGCTAGCTAGCTATGTATACAATCTACTAATAGTGCTCCTTTGGTCGACTGCAGCTGAATATGATTATAGTTTTAATATTTTCAACAATCTGCTAAAGCAAATCTGCTTAGTTTTGTGAGTTAAAATGCAGAAGCCGACTGGTGCGTTCTGGGAGTAATTTAAAGTGGCTCAGTGAGGAGTAGCAGGCACACACAGTTACATGAAATGGCTCATATGGATTAAAATAAATGTTATTACAGGAACCACAAAGGGATGTTGATCTAGGAAAATGTCTTACTTAAAAAAATCAGGTTGACCTTTGAAGCAGGAAAGCTGGTGTGATGACACATCATCACAAAATTTGAGGAGCACCTGTACTGCACACAGTTTGTCAGTTTGTCTGTAAACATCACTTATGGCAAGCCTTCAAGAATTCTGTTTAAACTTCACCTTTGTTATCTATGACAGGTTTCTGGGAAATTGATGGTTATGGTCTCATAGGAATCTATAAGTCAGATATGGACCGAATTGGTGGTATGAATACTAAAGACTTCAAAGACAAGTGGGGAGGAGAGGACTGGGAGTTGCTTGACAGGTAAGATGAGACAAGCCTATCAGAGAAACTTTAAGGATCGCTCGTTTATTGTGCCATGCGTATTTATGTATCGATTGATTGATGTTGTAAATGTTAAATAGAGCTCATCATATTTAATTAATACCATAGTAATTGTGGCATGTGCAAAAGTTGTAAAGTCTAAGAACTTAATTAAATCATTAGGACTTAAGTGACTTGTTAGGAGGGTCAAAAATAGTTGTTAAGAATTGTAAGCTAAATTCTCTGACTCTTTAAACCTTGTAATTGTGCTTGTTTATCTGAAAATAGAGCTAGTTGAAGCAGCAGGGGAGGCTGCAAAAAACTATCATCCTTCCCCTTGAAAGACTTGCTTGGAGAATAAAAAGATAAAGACATTTCGGGCGTGTTCTTAGATTACGCCAAAGCTGCTTTCAGAAATGTGCTACAGTGTTGAAATGGAATAGCTAATAATGAGTGGCACTGTCTCATTGTACTTTTGTGCTACTCTGAGTATTAATGTTGATAATTATTGACTGCAGCTATTATTACTGTTGTTTCCTATCGAAATTGTTGATTTCTATTTCTATTTACAACTGTCTTCACAATGCATTGCACATCATACCGTCATACTCTGTACACTCTTTGGTTGCTATAATAAAAAGGACTGGAAAGAGAGAAAAAAGAAATGGCAGTTAAGGGGAACTGTGAAAGTCAAAGCAAGATCTGGAAAAAAAACAAGAAAACTCTCAGGTAGAACTGCATGCAGGTCAGAAAGGTATCTGCAAAAAGATTTAGTTGACACAAGAGTGGTGGGCCAACATCATCCAACCTTATCTACGACCTCATCACAAAAGTCAACAGGGGTGGATCTAATACACTTTGTGGTTGTGCGGCAGGCAGTGGCATAGGTAACTTTGCATGAGTAGATGGAATAATTGGTTTCACAAAATCTTGGGAGTAAATGTGACAGTCAAGACACCGAAATTGAAAAGAGGCTGGCTTCTAGAAAAAGACAGTGATCTTAAACATACCTAAAAATCCACCCTGAAACCTAGAAACGATGCTGTTGAAATGACCCACATAGTCCCTTACTGAAAATCAGTAGGTTGATCCAAAGAATGTCACAGAACAGGAAGTGAAAAAGTTGGGGGAAATTCCTAAAACAAGAAGGGGAAAACCCTAGCTAGTTACGAAAACCCGTACAAGCTGTCTCAATTAGGATGACTTAGTAGGACGTCCAAACTTTTGCACACGCCATAATCACAGTTTTATTTATTTTTTGTATTTTGTATTTAAATTAATCAAATAGAAAGAAACTGTGCATTAACATTTGCAGTTTTTTTTAATCAGTGCGCTTCAAAAATTGTGGGGTACACCATTAAAGATCCCCCTCACAATAAATAAATAAATAATATCAAATGAAAACAAAACAATCAATGTCAATGCCTCATCTGTCTGTTAGAATCCTAGAGAACAAGCTGGAGGTGGAGCGACTAAATCTGAGGAATTTTTTACACCACCACCATTCAAAGCGGGGAATGTGGAACAACTAGTTGAATGATGGACGTTGCTTACGCTTCCTGCTCAAGGAAGTCGTCTTATGAATTATGGACAGTGCTTTTCTTTTATTTATTCTTTCTTCCTCCCTACTTTTTCTACTTTTCCTTGTCTTCTGTGAAAATGTAAGTTTTATAAATGCCTTTTTTACCCCACCACCTCCCCCTTCACAGGATGATTTTTTTTTTTTATTTTAACTATAAGGCATAGTTCACAAAATTATTAACGCTCTCCTGTATAGAGAGAGGATATATATGATACAGAAGGAAAAAAAAACAAATGATAAAAATAAAAAATAAAAATAATATAAACAAAACCACACAGAAGAATCAACAGGAATGTTTAGTAAATAAGCTCTTCAGAAAACACAAGTACATGTACAAAAATTCAAATATGATGTTATTGATCAATCATTTGGTATGTGTGTAGGTATGCGTGTGCATTTTAATGATGAAAAGAAGGAGGGGGGGTTATTTGTAACTTACAGAGTGTGTGGTATGGTTTTTAGGATCAAGTTTAGTTGTATTTAATTATTGTAATACTGATTCTGATAAATGGTTATAAGAAGTGTCCAGGTTAAGTCGAACTGGGAGGTTTTGTTTTTGAGGGACACAGGTAGTTTTTCCATTAATATGTGAGCCAGTAGCAAGTTTTTACAGTGTATAAGGCTAATGAAATGTTTTGATTTCCAGTTCATGGGGACGGCCTTCTTGGCAATGATTGCTTCATAGATTGCTCTAATCTTTACATCAGTTAAACTGATTACTGATGTGTCTCCAAGCAGAAGAGTGTTGGAGAGGGGATATGAGCATTTAACGAGAGTGATGGGGGATTAATAACACTTACCAGAAGTGTCTGATAGCTAAGCAGTGCTGGATGGCATGGATGTAGCTATCTGCAGTGTGTTAGTGCTGGTGGTCCTGAGAGAATCATTCTTACATATCTGAATTCAGAAATCGGCCTTGTGAGTAATCGATAGGCGTTCTTCCGATTGTCTAGTTGGTAATGTCATAGTTAGATAGATAGACCATTAAGTCCTCTACTGTGTTTTCAGGATTATCAGTTGTATTTTCTGGGATACCTGAGAATATGATGTTTCTCATATTTCATGCTTGAAGTTCAAGTATTGTCTTTTTTTTTTTCTTTTGTATTGGATGATAGTTGTTGTGTTGGTTGTTGTAGTGTTTAATTTGCATTAGTTAGTGATGTGATTTGCTCCTGGCTGTACTGTGGGCTTTGACGGAGCATTTTAAATTATTTATGGAGGACTTCTATTAGTGAGATTCTTGCATCAAGACCAAACAGTTTACAGAATGTAATTCATGCCTGTACGTAACAAGGATGTGACCTGATCTTCTGAGACACCAGGTGAGCTAGGTGGACATGGTCTCTGCAGTAAGGGAGTTGGGTTTTTCATGCCTTTGTTCTTTCTTTCATTTTTGTCTTTATCGATGCTGACATTGCGATGGTAGAATTGGTCAATGAAATCTTCGAGTGCTTCCAGCACATGTATGAATTGGCTGATCGAAGAGGTACGATAAAGATTAGTTATTCCAATGTTTGCTTTGGTTATAGTTGAGGTGCTGGAGGCCACTAGCTAAAATTGCTTGCACTCTGTCTCACGAGAGTGTGCTAGTGCATCATTCCCAGGAAGGGACCCAAGTACACACTTGTGTTTGATGAGTACTGATGCAACATACTTTTTTATCCCTGCTGTATAACATGTTCAGCCCTACCAATAGTCTTCAGCTATTAATAGACTTCAGTGCATATGTCAACTGACATATGAATTCATATGCTCAAAGTCTGATGGTCATTCTGCTCTGAATTTCATGTGTGTAAATTTCTAGCAGGAAAAGTGAAACATTACAGCCAAGAATGTTATATATTTGCAAATATGTGCCTAAACATATTAATACTTGTAACATTACATTTGTAATAAAAAAATATTCAGAGAAAAAAATCACTGTGGTCACTGAGTATCAGGGTTCAGCATTAACAGTTGCCTGATTGCCTGGGGCAAGAAAGACAATATGTTGGGACAGCAGATTTAAAGAGCACTTGCCTGGTTGGGCAGGCTGACGTTCAGTCATAGAACAGTTTTGATAGTGAACAGCATACTTGATACTGCCTTCGTTAGCTTTCATATGCACTTTCCACCAGGTTGCCAAATTTTAATTTTTTATTTTTATTCTTATTATTTTTTAGGATACCAGGATACAATGCTGAATTAAAGTTTTCTATTTTCACCTGTCTCAGTGGAAACGCAGATTTACATGTTTATTTTCTGTCAGTAATAATGTTTAGGGTTGGTTAAACAAAACATCGTAATATATATACTACATCTGCATTCCAGGACAATAAGGGTCAATCAGGAACAATAAAGGTTAAGTAAGTGTGTTGAAAGAAAAACACATTGTAACAATAGTGAATATGTTACAGCAATACCCATTTGCATCTCATCCCATGTATTGTTTGAACTGCCTCCTCCAGACATAATATTTCTGAGCAATAAGGCATAGAATTCAAATGTAATACAAATGATCAAATATAACAAATGTAATGACACAAAGTCAAAAACATCTAGTCATCTCTTGTTTCAGGGAAGTCTACACATTTAAGCTTGAGTTAGTTTGAGTTGACTACTAATAACAGAAAAATGAGATTCATGTCTTGTAAGCACTTATTGCAATTATTATCTAGTCCTACAGCCACTTCCCTGAAGATACTGGACTAGTCATTATAATGCCAACCACTGAATAACAAAATGCCACAAATTACCATGGAATCCTGATTGTGATAATATTACATCTCAACCAAAAATATGTCATCAATAAATCAGTTGATTTCAAGTTAACTCATATGGGTTGTGTAACACCATGTAGTGATGAATCTGTCCAGAGACAAAAATCCTAATAGTTGCAAGTCAGGCTGTGTTGGGGATTATATTCATATGTTTTGGCAAAGCCCTTATATTATGTCTTTTTGCAACTGTGTAATACGTTTATCTATTTATTTATCGTCTCATTGTTATGACACATTGTGTGATATGTGGTGTTTTTCTTTATTCTCTCCCCTTTATTTTTTGTTACATTGTATTTTTGTGCATGTCTCTGTGTTTGTGTATGTGTTATATTGTGAAAAAAATAATAGAGTTATTAACAAAAAGAAAAAAACTAGGTTTTATATGTATACAACCATCATGCAACTCCTCCTTATTTCGCACCTACCAGGTTGAGAACCACTGGAGGTTGGTTGTGTTCTGATGGGGAAAAAAATAGGGTCGTTTTGATTAAATAGTAGACAATGAGGCACAAATGGCAATTATAAAATGGATCAAAACTGTCACTCCAAGCAAGCTCCTGTACAGTTGTGAGCCCTAATGAAGAGAAGACATGTTGGGGTTGCATATCCAAAGTCTATACACAGCACATTTTGTATAGCAGTCAACAGTGGATGGATGTGCATTGGTGCATGGTTGCCTTGAAACATTTGAGAGTGCAGATCTCTTATACACTAATCTTAAGCAGTAAGGTAAAGAAGACAAGGGAAGTGAGGATAATCCACCAGCTGAATGCTGACTGTGCCAATGATGACCCACTCTGACAGAATCTAGCACTTCTCAGTTCTTCAGAGAGAAAGAAGGATGTAGTCTTCTAAATGTTTTAAGAAATATGGTGTTGTTCTTCTTTCAGTTCATATTTCACTTTTAAATTATTTGATAAGGACAACAGGTAATATTTTCTGTAAAGAAAATCAAATTTGAAATTGAGCATATATTTCCAAAAAAGTTTAAGTTTGTAAGGTCAAAATATTTTTGTACCATTTTAATAGAGGTCAGAAGAAATTTACTAATCACTTCTGTTTTTATCAGCTTTCACATAATGTCCCAACTTCACTGGAATTGGGTTAAATAATCAACATTATTTGTTTGACATACCAAAAATACACTGAGCTACAAAGTAAGTTGTCATAACATGCAATGTCATTTCATCCCACAAACCATTATGACAAAAACCGATGTCAGCAAAATCCTATGTCACTTGGCATAGATGTTATGTCAACTTAACAAAAGCAACCTTCATGACAACTGTAGCTTATTGGAAGAAGGCTTTATGGTTGTTTATCGCTGCTGTCAGAACAAAAACTTGTGTCTCCAAAGTGACAACTTTACAGAAGAAATATAAAAAAACACATACTTTACTTTTAATGTAAGTCAGTGGAACCAGACATTATTCCAAGTAACTTTAGGCCTTTTCTTTTGGTCCATTTATCATGAAATTTACATACAATATAAAGAGCATCAGGCATTTTCAAATTATGTGAAAAACTAAAAAGCGAAAAAATTGGAATGAGTTTTTTTTTCCAACAGCAACATTATATCAAAAGTCATGAAAGGATTATGGAATTGACATGTAGCCTTATGAACATAGTCTACAGTAAAGTATTACTGAACTGTGTTTAAAGAGCTCATGGAATCTTAAATGGGGTCATTTTGGTGGTCTGCCTAGTATCAGAGCAAAGCCAAATCAAAATAAATGAGTAATTAAAACAGGGTACACTTCATGCCTACTTTTAATTCTGAAGTTAAACATAAAGAGTAAAAGAAAATATTTTGAAAGCTTCACTGTTTAACCAATCCAGCTAAATGTTACTTCAGTGTTTAAGTTAAACAAGCCATGCACATGGAGTTCTCAGAAACTAATGCTGGAAGTAAAGTATTTTATGACCCTTCAGAATTTGACAATTCTTACTACACTTTGCAAAATAAGATTAAAGTCAGCATGAATCTTTTTCAGTTTGGTGATTTCTTTGCTCTAACTCACCAAAAAAAGCATGTAAGTAACTGATAAGATTGAATCAGGTGTGCGTGAGTAGGTGTTGGGTGTGTTAAATCATGCGTTTAGTTCCTCTCTCTGTCTCTTGTCTCAAAGAGAAATGTTCTGAGTGAAAATGGCAGAACCTGTCTAGGGTGTTTCCTAGCTTCCACCCAATGACCCCTGGGATAGCCTCCAGTAACCCCTGCAACACATGATAAGCAGCTTAGAAAATGTGGGGGTGTGTGTGTGTGTGTGTGTGTGTGTGTGTGTGTGTGTGTGTGTGTGTGTGTGTGTGAAAATGGCAGACTCCACATCTTCTTCTGAACAGATGCTACAATAAGCATATATGTTTGTTCCATGTTAGTGATATGTTTTCATGTGTTTCTTATTACAGATGAGGAAGAATGTGCTGTACTCTCTATATCCGCATATATAGACTGGAAAAA